TAAAAAAAAAAAAAAAAATTGAATGGCATATGTGACCCTGGACCACAAAACCTTAAGTCTTAAGTCACTGGGGTATGTTTGTAGCAATAGCCAAAAATACATTGTATGGGGCAAAATTATTGTTTTTTCTTTTATGCCAAAAAAATCATCAAGTAAAGATCATGTTCCATGAAGATATTTTGTAAATTTCCTACTATAAATATATTAAAACTTAATTTTTGGTTAGTAATATGCATTATAAGAACTTCATTTGGACAACTTTAAAGGCGATTTTCTCAATATTTTGATTTTTTTGCACCCTCAGATTCCAGATATTTAAATAGTTGTATCTCGGCCAAATATTGTCCTATCCTAACAAACCATACATCAATGGAAAGCTTATTTATTCGGCTTTCAGGTGATGTATACATCTCAATTTCTCAAAAATTGACCCTTATGACTGCCTTTGTGGTCCAGGGTCACATATAAGAAAAAAATCTAGGTATACCAGATGACCTTGCTGATCAAGTAGTTAGTTGCCACTAGTCATTCTTAAATTGAATACTTTGAAATGTTCTTGGTTAGAGATACTCCAAACCCTTTTGTTTTTATATGGCTTTCTTTCTACAACCAGTTTGACCAGGAAGGACCCTGTCAATTAAGGTAGCTTCAGACCTGAAGGGCAAAACTATTGACCTGCGAGTTCTAAAAATGAAGCCACCAGATCCAGATGATTCCACCTTATGTCATTTGGATTCAGTTCTGTTCATTCTGGATGTTTTTGGTGCAGTCTCAGGCAATGAAGTAGCATCATAAATGCGTCATTTTACCTTAAAGGATAGTTTTTCAAGTTATGTTTTGATAAGGGCCGCTAAATATAATGAAAGAGCTCTCTCTGTAATGTAGCGAGTTTATGGACTTACCAGATGTTTTTTGCCTCTCCACTCCCTCTCACAAAACTTATGTAATGTGGAGAGCTTGCTTGTCTGCAAACATCTCCAAGGTTAAGGAATAGTGCTTTAAATTTTGTGCAAAGAGCAGTTCCCTTCAGGCGAGGAAAAGACTGTTGGGTGGGAGCTGGAAGGCTCATTTCCGTTTAAGGAGGAGCTCTTGGAACACAATGCAAGCTGTCAGACCAAGCCTCCCACCATTAATTTTCTGGACACAACAGATGGCGTGTGTACAAACTGGGGATTTGACTCCATGTGGCCATTGCTACAAGGAACTTGCTGATTGCCTAATGTAGGGGGCTCTGAAGGATGGCAGAACGAGGGTGGGGAGTGACGTATAATAATTACTTAAAATATTGGGCTTTCTGTATGCTTGACACCTGCTGCCTTGTGGGATGCGGGCCATGCTGCGTTTATCAAGAGCAATGACCTCATCTCCAAATGCACATCTTTAGTCTGTCTTTTTGATGGGGCATGACGGCCAACTGAAGTGATGCTGGCTCTGCTGGCACTATGACAGTAACGTTTTGATGTGAGCGGTCATTTATCTTTGGTCCACACTTCCTTAATGCGATCAGTGCAAATAAGCCGGATGAGATAGAGAAGGGTTTGCATTGTGTTAGCAGGGCAATAAGCTTACATGAGGTCAGCCTTCGTTTGAAATTCTGTGGAAATATTAAATGATGTTGTAGCTAATAAGATGTGTTGCCAAGTCCAAGGTTGGGGAGTATTAAACAGATATTTCACCCAAAAATGAAACTTCTGCCATCATTTACTCACCCTCATGTTATTCCAAATCGGTTATTTTCTTTCTTCTGTAGAACATAAAAAGATATTTTGAGACATGTCTCAGTCTTTTGTTGTCCATACAATTGACGTCAGTGAACACCAAACCAGTTTGGTTACCAACATTCTTCAGAATATCTTCTTTATGTTCCGAAGAAATAAAGAAGTCAAACAGGCTGGAGTGACATGAAGGTGAGTAAATGTTGAACTATCTCTGTAACAAGGCACCTAACCCCACCTTGAGATTTACTGTTGTTTGCTTTGAATAAATGGTTCAGTGGCAAGAAATCAGCCAAACAAGGAGGGGAATGTAAATCGTAATTTGATCATCTTCATGCCATTACAAGCAACTGTCAAAAGTTCAAATGAAATAATTCATAATGATATTGTATTTTAAATGGTGGGGAGACATCTGAAGAAATGTATTTCAAGTCAAATTAATTACAAGTCATTTACAAACC